AAGTAAAACACTCCTCAGCGAATGCAAAAGGACTGCAATCGTAACTAACAGTCTCTCAGACAACAGCACAATCACATTAGAATTCAAGATTAAGAAACTCACTCAAAAGCACACAACTGCAAAGGAATTGAACAACTTGCTCCTGAATGACTCCTTGGGCAAATAATGAAATTAACGGAGAAATCAGAGTTATTTGAAACCAATGAAAACAAAGATACATCATACCAGAATCTCTAGGATGCAGCTAAAGCTTGTTAAGAGAGAAATTTATAGCCCAATACCCTCATCAAAAAGCTAGAAAGATCTTAAATCAACACCCTAACGTCACAACTAAAAGAACTGGAGAGCCAAGAGCAAACAAACCCCAGCGCCAGCAGAAGACAAGAAATAACCAAGATTGGAGTTGAACCAAAGGAGACAGAAACACAAAAAACCCTTCAAAAAAATAAACCAATCCAGGAGCTGGTTTTTTGAAAAAATTAGTAAAATAGACCACTAGCTGGAATAATAAAGAAGAAAAGAGAGAAGAATCAAATAGACACAATAGAAAATGATAAAGGGGATATCACCACTGAACCCACAGAAATACAAACAAACATCAGAGAATACTGTAAACACCTCTATGCACATAAACTAGAAAATCTAGAAGAAATTGATAAATTCCTGGACACCTACACACTCCTAAGACTGAACCAGGAGAAATTGAATCACTGAATACACCAATAACAAGTTCTGAAATTGAGGCAGTAATAAATAGCATATCAACCCAGAAAAGCTCAGGACCAGGTGGATTTATTGCCGAAATCTACCAGAGATACAAAGAGGAGCTGGTACATTTTTTTCTGAAACTATACCAAACAATTGAAAAGAAGGGACTTTTCCCTAACTCATTTTATGAGGCCATCATCATCCTGATACTGTAACCTGAGAGAGATACAACAAAAAAAGAAAACTTTAGGCCAATATCCCTGAAGAACATTGATGCAAAAATCCTCTATAAAATACTGGCAAACTGAATCCAGCAGCACATCAAAAAACTCATCCACCCAGAGCAAGTCAGCTTCATCCCTGTCGTGTAAGGCTGGTTCAACATATGCAAATCAATAAACATAATTCATCACATAAACAGAACTAAAGACAAAAACCACATGATCGCCTCAATAGATGCAGAAAAGACCTTTGGTAAAATTCAACATCCCTTCACGTTAAAGAGTCTCAGTAAGCTAGGTATTGATGGACATACCCCAAAATAGTAAGAGCCATTTATGACAGACCCAGAGCTAATATCATACCGAATGGGCAAAAGGTGGAAACATTCCCCTTGAAAACTGGCAAAAGACAAAGATACCCTCTCTTATCACTCTTATTCAACATGGTATTGAAGTTCTGGCCAGAGAAATCAGGTAAGAAAAAGAAATAAAGGATATTCAAATAGGAGGAGAGAAAGTCAAACTGTCTCTGCAGATGATATAATCCTATGTCTAGAAAACCCCATCATCTCAGCCCCAAAGCTTCTTAAGGTGATAAGAAATTTCAGCAAAGTCTCAGGTTACAAAATTAATGTGCAAAAATCACAAGCATTTCTATACACCAGCAATAGACAAGCAGAGAGCCAAATCATGAATAAACTTGCATTTACAATTGCTACAAAAAGTGTAAAATACCTAGGAATACAGCTAACAATGGAAGTGAAGGACTTCTTCGAGGAGAACTACGAACTACTGCTCAAGGAAATCGGAGAGGACACAAACAAATTGCGTGGGAAGAATCAATATTGTGAAAATGGCCATACTGCCCAAAGTAATTTATAGATTCAATGCTATTATCATTAAACAACCATTGACATTCTTCACAGAATTAGAAAAACTACTTTAAAATTCATATGGAACCTAAAAAGAGCCCATATAGCCAAGACAATCCTAAGCAAAAAGAACAAAGCTGGAGGCATCCTGCTACTTGAGTTCAAACTACATTACAATGCTACAGTAACAAAAACAGCATGGTACTGGTACCAAAACAGACACATAGACCAATGGAACAGAATAGAGATCTCAGAAAGAAGTCCACACACCTACGACCATCTGACCTTCGAGAAACCTGGCAAACACAAGCAATGGGGAAAGGATTCCCTATTTAATAAATGGTGATGGGAAAACTGGCTAGCCATATGTAGAAAATTGAAACTGGACCCCTTCCTTACACCTTATACAAAAATTAACTCAAGATGTATTAAAGATTTAAATGTAAACCCCCAAACTATAAAAACCCTAGAAGGAAATCTAGGCAATACCATTCAGGACATAGGCACGGGAAAAGATTTATTGACAAAAATGTCAAAAGCAATTGCAACAAAAGCAAAAATTGACAAATCGGATTTAATTAGACTAAAGAGCTTCTGCACAGCAAAAGAAACCATTATCAGAACGAACAGACAACCTACAGAATGGGAGAAAAGTTTTGCAGTCTATCCATCTGACAAAGGTGAAATGTCCAGAATCTACAGGGAACTTAAAACAAATTTATGAGAAATTTGTTTAAAACAACCCCATTAAAAAGTGGGCAAATGACATGAACAGACACTTCTCGAAAGAAGAAGACATTTATGTGACCAACAAACATATGAAGAAAAGCTAAACATTACTGGTCATTACAGAAATGCAGATTAAAGCCACAATGAGATACCATCTCATACAAGTTAGAAAGAAGATTATTAAAAGTCAAGAAACAACAGATGCTGGTGAGGCTGTGGAGAAAAAGGAATGCTTTTACACTGTTGGTGGGAATGTAAATTAGTTCAACCATTGTGGAAGACATTGTGGCAATTCCTCAAAGACCTAGAAGCAGAGATACCATTTGACTCAGCAATCTTACTACTGGATATATATCCAAAGGAATATAAATCATTCTTTATAAAGATATATGCACACATATGTTCACTGCAGCACTATTCACAATAGCAAAGGCATGGAATCAACCTAAACGCCCATCAATGACAGACTGCATAAAGAAAATATGGTGCAAATACACCATGGAATACTATGCAGCCATAAAAAGGATGAGATCACATTCTTTGCAGGCACATGGACGGAGCTGGAAGCTTTTATCCTCAGCAAACTAATGCAGGAACAGAAAACCAAACACTGCATGTGTTCACTTATAAGTGGGAGCTCAGCAATGAGAACACATGACACAGGGAGGGGAACAACACACACTGGGGCCTGTTGGAGGAGGTTGGGGGAGGGAGAGCTTCAGGATAAATAGCTAGTGCATGTGGGGCTTAATACCTAGGGGATGGGTTAATAGGTGCAGCAAACCACCATGGAACACATTTACCTATGTAACAAACCTGCACGTCCTGCACATGTATCCCGGAACTTAAAATAAAATGAAGTTTAAAAAATTAAAACTAAAAAAGAAGTGTTGGGGCTGAGAAACCAATACCTTAAAATATAGTGCTTTGACATGCTGAACTAAAGCAGAATCCTCAAGGTCTCTCTGACCAACCCCCTCCAGCTCCCCACCCCTGCCACCCCACAATCCTGTCTCTCAATCCTCAACTTCAGACCTGACAAAGAAGAAAACAATTACCTCTTACCTCTGATCCCTTCCCTGAGTTTTCATTAGCTGAGCTCATAATACAGAAAGAGACTGAACTCTGTCAATACACCTGGACCGACTTTGGTCACAAACCCTTATCTGCTCTTCAGGCTGGCCTAGTTGGCTTTGTCCCAGCCGTTGTATATTGTTCAAGCCCATTGAATTCCTCTAAAAATAATTTACTACACCACTAAAGTTATTCATATTTCCCCATCTCCTTTTCCCCTAGGAGGGGGAAGAAGGAAGAAGGAGTATTTAGCCATTTGTACCCCATTGTGTGGTGGGGTAATCACTCTGATTCTCCCTTGCGCACATTAATAAATTTGTATGTCTTTTCTCCTGTTAAACTGTCTTTTGTCCATTGATTTTCAGTGAATCTTCAGAGGGTTAAAGATAAGTTTTCCCTTGACCCCTACAGAAGCAACAGATACCTGTAGAGATAGCAACATGGATGGATCTTAAAATCCGAGTGCTTAGTGAAAAAAGTACAAAATACAATGAAATAGAAAACTAAACACTATTTAATTTGTGTGAATTAATGTGAAAAACATATATGCACACAAAATAGAAATATCCATTTGTAAGAACATGCACAAGCAGATACTTATTAAAATTCATTAGAGTGACCGTCAAGTGACCAGAGAAAGGGAATGGAAGTGGAGTATGAGAATAAAAGAGAATATAACAATCGATCAACTGGGTCAGCTCCCTTAGGCTTTCGAAGAGATAGCAGTTAGTTGCCAAGGCAGCATAAAAAGATGTGGAAAATCTTGGGTTCCCTCCACTTCTCAATATTTCCTTATCATCACATCTTGTACTGCCTAACTCATCTATTCTCCATGAAAGCTGGCCCACAAAAATGCAATTAGTTAGAAGCAATCTCCTGATAGTACTTCATTTCCTGCCCAAATTCATATGAAAATGTCTTTCGCCTTGCATCTGGAGCTTTGATGCTTTCCCGATATTCTGGCCAAACGTGACAATTCTTTGGTGATCTAAATGCTAGTATAGAGTTGATAACATTGTTTGTTATTACAAAGAAATTATGGAAAGCAAGCTCACATTTATATTGACAGTGAAGAAATCCCTTGTTTTGTACAGGGTCTAACTTAATGCTTACATATGCAGCTGCTTTGTAGGAGTGAGGAAGCAATGTCTGTCCTTAAATTCATTCTGGAATTGGAGTTCCAGAGCTACTGAAGTTATAGGAAGTAAGAGCTAAACTACATTAAATGGAAAAATAGCACAAATAAAGGGAATAAGTAGCATAAGGGATTTAGTCATGAGGTGAATTGTTTAATGAAAAGCCCCCTTTCTGTAATTTATAATAATGGGAGTTCAACAGCCTATTTCTTCCAGTCTGCCTCAAGACAATAATTAGAGTATTTTATTTTATTTTGCAGGCTTCAAAATTTAAAGGAGCTGTCAAAATGGAGGGTAGAAAAAGGGTAAGAAATGTTAACAATATTTAGTATGATTTATGGGTGAGTTTAAAAATTCCCCATTATAGTAACTAATTAGATATCTTGGATATAAGAATTCTAGATGCTTTTCTTGATTTCTCTTGATTTATAGAATTAATTCTTCAAATTCTCTGGGATCTCAATTTCTTTACCAGTAAAGGAAGAAAATAAAGTATAAAACTTTCATTCATATTCCAAGATCTTTGAAGAGTAATAAAGTTATTCTCTGCAAGTATTACCTTCAGGGTGATCACGACCTCCTTGGGAAAAGACATCATGTGGACATTGTAAGTTTTTATTATCATCAGTTTCTATGTTAAATATCTTGAAAAGCCTTTAGATCTGGAAAGACTTCTTTCATTCAAGTTTAAATAAGTTGATTTACAAATCTGAAATTTGAGAAGCTGGAATGGGAATGGGAAAAGTAGAAGCTCATGGTATAATGATAAGAAAATATCAACAGCATTTGAAAAATGTCTTGCCCTCTCTCAGTGGGTCATTGTAAACCATTTTTGAGTCTTATCTGAAATAAGAATGTTCAACAACATGATAAGCTCTCAGGAAGATTGTGAAAATGCCAAAGCTAAATCTCTAGATTAAAGTAAAATGACTATTGATTTGAATAACATTATGTTTACTCTGTTGAATCTATCATTTTTATCATTCAAAAGTTATATAGTTTGAGTCAGATTTCCTCATTTCAGTTTAAAAGATCCAAGCCATTCTTATGTCTAGATTTATCTATGGTTACTATGGAGATGGCTCACTTTGTGTGAGGATTTACATTGTCATCCCAAAAGGGCAAATAATTTGGGCTATGAGTGCTTTAAAGACCTTCTGAGGTTGGGGGTTGAGGAAAGACCAAAAGTTGCTGACATTTTAGTTGAGACTCAGTGATTCATGGATAGTGGGTCAGGGAGTGGGGATTGGTTATGTTCTGCATATGATGGTGCCCATCTTGACAATAGTGTCACCTTGTACACACCAGTGTTAGCTACTATACAGCCATTCTATTCATCATGTCTGTTTCTTTGATTTCAGAGAGCTATTGAGTTTATAACTTGTGGCCAATAGGCTTAGAATTATAAAACACATGTCAGTCCACTGAAAGTAAATGTAGGGAAAATGAAAAGGAATTTAAAAAATGTATTAATGCCCAGAAAATCTGAGTTTTGGATCTCATTGAGTGGTCCTGGACTGTTCTTTTCACCCTTAGGCATATGAAGCATTAGACTGGACTGGATGAATCATCAGGGTTCCCAAACATTTCTCTGGAGTGCATCCAAGAGTTTGTATGTTTACCTACTCCCTTCTCCCCAAGTCCCTTTCATATGCTCCCAAACACCCCAAAACTAAATTTATTTTTATTCCCCTACTTAAAATAAAAAAATAGTGTAAATTTTACATCCTACTGCATAATATATTTGTATGTTTTGATATAAACTATTTCAAATGAATAAATCACCTTAAACTTTCCAGTAAAATAGATGCACCAGAATAACATGTCCTGTTACCTGTGGCTCTGAGTACAGTGCAACATACTGCCTTATATGCCTAGTGGTGCACAAAATTCCATCTGAGGAACAGCTGAAAATTATACTTTAGCAGAGCTGTGAAAGACCATTGCCTCTGGTCTTCTGTGATGTCTGAAATCCCACCATTTAAAATGATGTTCTTTAATCTCTGTGTTCTCCTTGACAATGAAGCTAGAAAAGGGAGCATAATAAATTATTCATGCCTCAGCAATGGCTAGTGATAGCTCAAAGACAGCATACATTTATAATAATGACAGTTGTTGGTGTGGTTTAAACGTTTTTTCCTCCAAAACTCATGTTGAAATTTAATCTCCAATTTGGCAGTATTGAGAGGTGGGGCTTTTAAGAGGTGATTGGGCCATAAGAGCTCTGGATTAATTCACTCATGGATTAATGAGTTAATGGATTAATGAATTAACAGACTATCATAGGAATGAGATTGGGAAGCTTTAGAAGAACAGGAAGAGAGACCTGAGCTAGCACACTCAGCCCCCTCACATGTGAAGCTCTGCAATGCCTCAGGACTCTGCGGAGAGTCCCCATCAGCATGAAGGCCCTCACCAGATGTTGCCCTTCAATGTTGCACTTCTCAGCCTCCATCACTGTAAGTAGTAAGTTCCTTTTCCTTATAAAGTACCAGTTTCAGGTATTATAAGCAACAGAAAATGGACCAAGACAGTTGCTTAATAATTGGTTAAAGGGAAAATCATAAATGAAAATTGAGTTATAGTTGTTTATTTTAGAGATAGAAACTAAAATAATTACCTGTAAGTCAAAGAACAAGTTGGTGAACTCTTAGAGGATCTGGAGCTCATCTAATTATTTCTGACTTCCTAATACCTATCATATTGAAAATACTAAATGCTTGTTTAATGAACAACTCAGGAAATTAGAATTCACATCTTAGGCCACCACTGTTTCTGTTTGAGGGAACTAGATGTCCTTAGTTCCTTTGAAGCAGATTTACATTAAATCGAAGAGAATTTCTGTTCATAGTACCACTGCTGAACCTGGAACCAGGGTTTGAAGTCTCACTTTTACTGCATTTATCCATTCTGTGTCCTGTTCCTGTGGCTTTTTCTGTTTTGAGGTCTTTCATATTTCTGATTTTTTTTTCTGCTTCTCTGGCTCAGGCCCTGGTGGTTTCCTTTCTGGAGAAGTATGCTAGCCTTCCAGCTGTTAAATAAAATTTGTGGAGGTAATTGTTTCGGATTGAGCTTCTGCACTAGGCCTCAGCAGACCACACCAAATCAGAATGGGGTCACCCATGCTAAATGCCATGTAAGGAAACTTAGAAATAGGTCAATTTTCCAAAAAGCAGGAGATTCAGCAACAACCCATGTAAAGGGGCCTAGTTAACCTGAGCCAGCATGACAGAGAAATCATGCTTTAACCCTATATGAAAAGTAACTTTGAAAAGATCAGTCCTCTTCTTTTCTTTGTTTCTACCTTTTATTCAGGTTTTTCTTTTTCTTGTTTCTGTCTTTTTTTTTTCAGGTTTTTCTGCCTTCTGCTCAGCCCATTGGAGCACCTTTCTATTTTATAAATGGGATGCTGCCCAATTCATGGATTGCTAATAAAAGCCAATTAGATCTTTAAACTCAATGTGTTCAAATTTTGTTCTTTGACACAGCCGATCTTTCTGCTTTCAAATACTTTATCCTCCAAATATTCTGGCAGGCTGTTATAGGACAGTATTACTAATTCACTCATCAATGGTGCTGTCCTTGCACAAAGGATATCAACCTTCTGTCACCCATGAAATCCAGTTAAATTTTCCCCACTTGGCATTGAAAACCTTCTTGAGGTTGCCTGACCTACATTTCTGGGCTTATCTACATAGCCACTGACATAAAACCTACATACTTGACAATCTAGTTGTTTTACATTTCCTCATGCCTGAGGAAATGTTATGAGAAAATTTGTTAAATTATGAAATTACTTTTGCCATTTGATAGTAATCAGCTCAAGGATAGAGGACGTATCTTGTACATCCTTGAATTTATTCCCCAACACAGCAAATACCCCTGTGGAGATGCCCACTAGAGATGGCAATTTTAGGTTTTCCATGAAATCTTGTAGCAAGAGGGAGGTAGCATGCAGGGTTTAGATGTAGCAGTCTGTCTCTGATGGCATGGGACAAGGAGATGTGAAAGAATGAACAAGGGATTAAAAGTGATAGGCAAAATTGGGAAAATTGGTGCTGAAGACACATTTGATCTGTTTAAACTTCCTGAAAGGGTCAGATCACTGTGAGCAATCCTGATGTTTGCTGGGTTGGGGAAACAGCAGGCTTGCACACTGACATGTGACTGGAAAGAAACGTTGACCAGGGTTCAAACCAATGCCAAGGAGAGGGCTTCAGTGGGTGGAACCCAGTGAAAACCAGCACACGGGTCACTAGGTTGAGAGCTGGGAGGCATGAACCAGGCTGATAACCAGCTTTCCTGGGATGGGGACAAGGATGCTGCTATAGTCTCAATGCTCCCCTAAATTCATGAGTTTAAAGTTAATTCTCATTGTGGTTGGGTTAGAGGTGGGGCCTTTTGTCATGAAGTCATGAAGTTTCCACCCCATAATGGATTAGGGAATTAAGAACTGGAAGAAACTAGCTTGGGACCCTTTTGTTCTTCTGCTCTTCTGAAAAGGATTCATCTTCTTTTTTGTCCTTCCATCTTTCCTAACATGTTGCGGATATCTAGATGGTGCCATCTATGAGGAACAGACCCTCATTTGAAACAACTTACCAGCACCTTGATCTTGGGCTTCCCAGCCTTCGGACTATGGGACAATAAATTTTTATTCTTTATAAATTATCCAGGTATCAGGAGAACCTGCTCCCGATGTTTAACGTGGGTTCTTTTCTATTTCCTAAGTGTCTCGGCTGGGTTGAGAAATAAAGGGAAAGAACACAAGAGAGAGAAATTTAAAGCTGGGTGTCCGGGGGAGACATCACATGTTGGCAGGATCCGTGATGTTCCCCGAGCTGTAAAACCAGCAAGTTTTTGTTAGCGATTTTCAAAAGGGGAGGGAGTGCACGAATAGGGTGTGGGTCACAGAGATCACATACTTCACAAGGTTATAAAATATCACAAAGCAAATGGAGGCAGGGCGAGATCACAGGACCACAGGATGAGGAGAAATTAAAATTGCTAATGAAGTTTCCGGGCACGCATTGTCACTGATAACATCTTATCAGGAAACAGGGTTTGAGAGCAGATAACCTGTCTGACCAAAATTTATTAGGTGGGAATTTTTGTCCACCTAACAAGCCTGGGAGCACTATAGGAGGTCGGGGCTTGTTTCATCCCTTCAGCTTCGACCATAAAAATGGGTCGCCTTAAAAGGGGCCGTCTATAGGCCTACCTTCAGGGCGCATTCTCTTTCTCAGGGATGTTCCTTGCTGAGAAAAAGAATTCAATGATATTTCTCCTATTTCCTTATGAAAGAGGAGGAATATAGCACTGTTCTGTCCGGCTCACCGGTGGCTAGTTCAAAGTTACCTCTCTTGTTCCCTGAACATTGCTGTTATCCTGTTCTTTTTTAAAGATGCCCAGATTTCATTTGTTCAAACACACTTGCTCTACAAACAATTTGTGCAGTTGATACAATCACAGGGTTCTGAGGCAACATTCATCCTCCTCAGTTTACGAAGAAGATGATGGGATTAAGAGATTAAAGACAGGCATAGGAAATCACAGGGGTATTGATTGGGGAAGTGACAAATGTCCATGAAATCTTCACAAT